ATAAACTATTATTTTAATTGATGAGGCGGCTTAATTAAATAAGAAACGGCAATCGTTGTAATGACACAAGAATCACTCAATCTAGACGGTTACTAAGTAGTGTTGTATGGACGTAGGAAAGAGCAAGAAGTAGAGTTCATGGTGCTATGCAGGAAAGACAACTGCTAAATCTAGACTTGAAGAGGTCAAGATTGTAATGATTAGGAAAGCATCCTGCCGGGAGTGTGTTCAATAAAGCAACACTTCTTGGGGAGAAGATACCCAAATGGAACTTAGTAATGGAATACAAATAGAATGGGGATGATTCACCCTTGTCTACGGGTCCCAGGTGTAAATGTCACGTTTGGTGGGATTTATAAGTATAGATCTTTAGAACGCATGGAAATGGCGATAAAGCAACGAGGGGATCACAAGATTTCGTCTTCGGGAAAGGGTCTGTATAGTGGAAAATAATTCATCACCCACAAGGTCGCGTAGATGCTTTTGAATTCTATCAAGACAGGTAAGTTAAGAATTGAGAGGACACCCATTTATCTTGATAGATGAAAGTTCAGGGTTTGATTGGTGACGGAACGTTACTTGTTTGTTTTTGGCCAGATTGAATTTTACAGACCAGTACCAGCCAATGAGCCTTGTGGGCTAGAGCAGATGTGAGATTGATTGCTAGGTTCTGGTCTTCCATATTTTTGGAGGTACACCTATAAATTCTTGTATTATCCGCATAGATATTATTCTTGTATTATCCGCATAGATACTCACGAATAATTGGAATATGCCGTGTTCTTCTTTATGTGCCGTTTCCTTTAGGACCGTAAGTGAATATGACTCTCCACAATTTCCTATCCTTTGTAGCTCTTAATAAATTTGATATTTCTGTTATTTCTCCGAAACCGTATTTCGCCACCCATTTACTCAAGCTTGCTTGGTAGGTTATGTGTTGTTTTTCATCGTCACTCTTGCCTTCAATCTGCCCTGTGAATATCAGATTTTCTAAGCCCGCTTTCCTCATTATGTGTCCTAGAAATTTCATCTGTCTCTTCCCGATGCTAAGTATAAGTTTCCTTTTTGTCTCCATTATTTCTAAAACTTCTTCGTTGCTCACATATTCGTTCTATGGTATCCGCATCATTTCTGTTGTTTCATGTGTCATCTTCATCTGTGAGGAGATTGTCCAGCATTCACTGCTATACAGTAGGATAGATATCACGTAGAGTTCAGTACTCTTTTCTTTGTTTTTAACGAAGTTTTTTTTTTCTGTTTCTTAATACTCTGCTTAGCTTTTGGAAGGCATCTTTGTCTATCACAATGCTCCTTCGGATTTCAGTGTCGCACTTTCCGTCCTCTGTTAAAACACTTCCAAGATATTTAAATTTTTGTACTTGTTTGAATTTGATATCTCCGATTTTTAATTTGCATTTTGAGTTCTCATTCTTTTGCTAACAACAGTGCAGTCTGCCTTCTTGAAGGTTGTGTTTACTCCTTTCTTTTCGCTTTCCTTCAGTTGGTGTTTTTGTAGTTAACGTTGCGCGTCTGCTATCAACACTGTCTCATTTGCATATATTATGTTGTATGTATTGTGAGAGTCAAGATCACACACGTCCTGGAAGGACACGGCACATAGAAGAAGAAGAAGAAGGAGGAGGAGAAGAAGAAGAATGAGGAGGAGGAGAAGGAGGAGGAGAAGATGAAGAACAAGACGAAGAACAAGGAGGAGGAGGAGGAGTAAGAGACGAAAAGAAGAAGAAGAACAACAACAACAAGGAGGAAGAGGAGGAGATGAAGAAGAAGAAGAAGAAGAGGAAGAATAGTTCTAAAAAATGTTCACCTCTACTTGAAGTCTTCTACTTGTAAAATTCCTCTCTTCCTCTCTTTATATTTTGTTTATCAATTCAATGGAAGAACTGAATGCGTCATCACAAGAAAGAATAAAATAGGAAGAATTGACCTGATACAAGATTATCTTCGTATCTTCGAGCACGGAGAATATGAGAAGAATTTACGACCAAGTTTTGAATAATTCAAAGAATCGTAATTCTCCGAATGTTGCTAAATACTAGAAATCCCCCCCACACACACTCACAAAAGTCGGATTTATCAATGACCAAAACTTTATGACGATAACAACTACAAAGATAATCCGAATATAATAATAAATAGAATATTTTTACCAAGAACTGAATAGTTTTGTTAGTGTAGTGTTTAATTTCTGGCAAGTCTAAGAAAAAGCGAGAAAGAAAAAGAGGAAGTGATAGAGAAAGAAACAGAGAGAGAGGGGAAGAGAAAGCGGAAGGAGGACGAGAACAGTAACATAGTGACTGCTTGAAAGATAGAAAGAGAAACAGGAAAAGTAGAGAGAGAGAGAGCAAAAGAAAGAGTAGAGACATTGAGAGAGAGAGAAGAGGGGAGAGAAAGGAAGAAAGGGAAATAAAGAGGGACAAAGAAAGAGAGGAAATGAAGGAGAGGGGGAGACAAAAATATAGAGGGGAAGAGAGAGGCGAAAAGAAGTCGAGAAAGGATGCGAGAACAGAAAGATAGTGACAAAGTTAAAGAGAGAAAGAGAAAAGGAAAAGTAAAGAGAGAGTGCAAGATAGACACACAGAGAAAGCGAGAAAAAAAGACAGAGAGGAAAAAATAGAGAAAGGAAAATAAAAAAAAGACAAAGATAACAACAAAAAGATAGAGAGGGGAACACAGAGGTAGAAAGAGCGAAAAAGAAATAATAGAAAAACATGGATACAGAGACAAAGGAGAAACAAAATGAGAGAAAAGAGAGACAAAGAGGGAGGCAGGAGAAAGAGAGGAGACAAAAAAAAAAAAAAAAGAATTAAGAGAGAAAGAGTGAGGGAGAAAAAGAGAAATACAATACCAAAGTGAAAGATAGAGAAAAAGAGAGAGTGGAAAAGAGTGAGAGAGGAAACTAGATATAAAGAGAAAGAGAAAGTGTAGAGGCAAAGAGAAAGAAGGAGAGAAAAGAAAGAAATAGGGACAAATATAGAGAAAAAAAAGAAAGAGGAAGAGAGCAGGAGGAAGAGATAGGGAGAAAGAACGAGTGAGAAATAGAAAGATGGACACAGAGATAACTAGAGAAATAACAGAAAAAGAAAATGAGTGAGGTGAACTTAGAAAGCGAATGAGAGGGAGGGAAAACAGAGAAGTCAGTTTTCTCTGAATGCAACAAGGTTTATCTCTCAAACAATAGGAAAAACGACACACTGTTGATGCCAGCGTCAGAAAGAAAACGGAAAGAGCTCTTAAACAAAGTAGTAATGGAAATAAAAAAGGGACTATCACTTCCCTCTAAGAAAACAGAATACCTATTTTTCAGCAAAAGAGACAGCCTAAGGTGTAAGTTACATAATGAAGATCTCAAAATCAAAATGGAGCTAACACTTCCCTGTAAGAAAAGAGAATGCCTATTTGTCAGCAAAACAGACAGTGTAAGTTACAAAATTGGGATCTCAAAATCAAAATGGGGCTAACACTTCCCTACAAGAAAAGAGAATTCCTATTCGTCAGCAAAAGTCACAGCACAAGGTGTAAGTTACACAATGGGGATCTCAAAATCAAAAATGGACTAACACTTCCCTCTAAGAAAACACTGTGCACATTTGTCAGCAAAAGAGACAGCCCAAGGTCTAAGTTACGTAATGGGGATAACAAAATCAAAATGGGACAAAACACATCCCTGTAAGAAAAGAAAATGCCTATTCGTCAGGAAAAGAGTCCAAAATTTAGGTTATATAATAGGGATCTCAAAATCAAGCTAGTACAGAAATTCAACTCTCGAAGTGGTACTCTTTACCATCCTTCTATACGGCCATATCACGTTAAAACACTGAAGTTAAGCAACGTCGAACCTGGTCAGATGAAAAACTGGCTTGGCTTGAATGCGCAGGTGGTGTATAACGGCTTGGAATTGGAGATTGACGAGTCGAGTTCCATATGGAAATTGGAAACAGAAGACGAATTACATGTAAAAGAAGAAAATGTAATGAGCAGAGAATTAATATTTTTCTATAGCCGTAATAGATACACTCTCTGATGTTAATTTTAAAAGGTGTTATCTTTAAAACGGGAAGTCAGTGCCAGAAAAACGGAAGTCAGTAGAAGTATTAATATTCGAAAAATGGCTGAAATGTGAAGCTTTCTTTTATTTTATTTCCTTTGTGTGTAAGCACAAACGTGAGATGCTATGACGTATATATAAGACGGATGAAAGATGTACTTCCTTTAATGTACGGTTAAATCTCAAGGAAAAGATGTCAGCAAGTTTAAAACTTTCAAAACGCTAACAGGAATGGTAATAAAACTGTTATGATAATCAAACTTAGTAGCCGTAAATGTCCTATGTACATTTAAAGTTGCCCGTGAGCTATAGTTATAGATCTCTTTATGCTAACAGTTAAATGTAACCGCCTCTTCTACTCCAACATCATCTTCTCTCGCACTTCCCAACAGTGGAACTCCCTTCCTCTTACTTGCTTCCCTGATAGCTGTAATCTTCAAATATTCAAATGTAATATCAATCGATATTTCTGATGCCTTGAACTTGAACGTCGTTCTTTTCTTTATCCTTTCCTCGGACACCCCTTTTTACTCTTACTCTCATTTTCTGTAACCCTTTGCGTGCTAGTGGCACTCCCGCCTTTTGAGCGTGAAATGCCTAAAAAACAAAGCAAAAAAGCTAAACCAATTCCAAAACATAAATAACAGTAAGCATAAGAGATGAGATTTTTTATAGTTTTATTTCAAACAGACCTTGACACTGACTCTTAAAGGCTATAACAGCAGAGAAAACAGCGATTAACCCACTTAACGAATTTGAGTGAATGGATGCTAAGACGGAGAAAGAGATTGATTGATTGAATTTTTTATGGCTTATCAACCTTTTTCAAGTTATTTAAAGCGAGCAAATCTTTTTAGATCGCAAGATTTTTTTGAAGATGATAACAATTTTACTGATACAATTCCTACTAATTAAAAGATAGCTCGAAGAAGTCTTACGACCAGAACACGTTGAAAACACCGATTCCCGTATAATGGCCAAAGTTAAGCAACGTCGGGCCTGGTTAGTACCTAGATAGCTGACCGTTTGTGAGTATTAGGTGCTGTATGCTTGGATGAACGGGATGTATAATGGATAATGGCTGCGAAATGGAAATAAATCTAACAGCTGAGTCGCAAATCCAGTTGGTTTCGTTATATTCGATTACGCGCAAATACCACTGGGAAAGATATGAACCCACCCCTTTCCCCCCAGCTAAGGATTAATTAGTAAGACTTGTATCAATAAACAATTATTGTCTCAAAAATATCAGTTCTTATAATCTAAAAAATATTTTCTGGTTATAAATAACCTGCAAAGGGTTGTTAAGCCTTAGAAAACGAATCAATCAATAGCTGGAAGGAAAAGAAGTGATTTGAAACTCGGCTTCCTGATTACTAATTCTGAAACTTTATCCCTTACACCAGCCGCACATCGAACCTGGTATTCACAAGCGGCCAACCATCTGACCAGGCTCGACGTTGCTTAACTTCGGTGATCGTATCAGAACCGGTGTTTCAATGTGATTTGTCTGTAGGTTCAGAAATATTGAGGGATAATAAAGAGCCAAAAGTTATTTAATGCAACAAAATATAGGAAGTTGTGGAGAGTCATGATCACGCTATGAAGAGACATGGCACATAAAAGACGTAGCTTTGCGGTGGTTAGCGTATTGCCTTGGACACCGCCAAAAAGGAAATCGGTTCCCGTGGAAAGTTCCAAAATTGTGCCCTTCCCGTAAGGCTGGTCGAACAATTTAAAAAAAAAAAGATGGTATTTATCAATCCACCCACGGGGATCGAATGTGGCACAAGGCCTTTTCAAAGAAAAAAGATTCCTTCGCTTTATTTGCTCTGATATGATTCAAGAATTTTGTCCTCAACTCCTACCTCGGTGCGTAACGTTTCGTTTTGACAAAAGTTCATGAAGTTTAATACGATCTGACGCGGCTCAAATGTTATTGATCTTTTAATGTGATGATCGATTATAGACTTAAGTTAAAAACCACTTTACCTCTCTTATTCTAACAACTTTCAACTTCTGCGGCAAATATTTAAACGCTTTAAGCGTTTATTTGTAGAAGTGAGGTCACGTGTCTCGCTCTGACATGAACAAATGACTTCACATTTTCATACATTTAAATCCCATACTCTGGTTCTCTCTCTCACACTCTCCATCTCTCTCTCTCTCACACACACACACACACACACTCTCTCTCTCTCTCTTTTTCTCCCTTCTCTCTCTCTTCATTTCTTTATCTTTCTCTCAATCTCTCCATTTCTTTCTCATTCTCTCTCATTCTCTCTCTCTCTCTCTCACTCTCTCTTCATTTCTTTTTCTTTCTCTCAATCTCTCCATTTCTTTCTCACTCTCTCTCATTCTCTCTCACTCTCTCTCCACTTCTTTCTCACTCTCTCTCATTCTCTCTCTCTCTTCATTTCTTTATCTTTCTCTCAATCTCTCCATTTCTTTCTCACTCTCTCTCATTCTCTCTCTCTCTCTCTCTCTCTCTCTTCATTTCGTTATCTCTCCCCACCTCACCCATTCTCGGTCAGACATACTCTAGTGGGATTACTGGATTAACATTTAGTTAGTAATCGATTGAAATTATCTAGGGGGATTATACTGAGTCAATCTTCCTACCTCAAAAGTTAGCATTCAAAAACCTCGCTGTTTAAGTCCAGACGCATCCATTTCTTCTTTTTAGAGAAGCTATCATTAGAATGTTCTTCAAATTTACGTCCTCTTTCAGGAATATTTTTACTATGGTAAAAGTTCCCAATAGAATAGAAGTTTCGAATTAATAGCTCCGTTGTGGGTTTGAAATGGGTTGTAATGTCTCTCTCTCTCTCTCTCTCTCTCTCTCTCTCTCTCTCTCTGTGTGTGTGTGTGTGTGTGTGTGTGTGTGTGTGTGTGTGTGTGTGTGTGTGTGATTCGTTTTATACGACAGTTCAGGTTATTTAAAGCCCCCAAAAATATTTTTTAAGTTGTAGATTTTTTTTTGTAGATAAAAATGATTTAGTAATACAAGTCGTACTATTTAAACCATAGCTGGGGGGAGAGAAGAGATGGATTTATACATTTCCCAGGGATATTAGCGCGTAAGTGACTATAACGAACCCAACTTGATTTGAAAATCGGATCTTCAATTAACAATTCCGAGCCCTTACCCATTACACAACTGGATATTTGCACATTAGTGAATGTAATGTCTGGAATTTGAACGAAGCCCTCCCGATTTCTCACACCGAACAGATATCCAACCGTCCTCGGTAAGACGATAAACTACATCCGCGTCCTGGGTAAGACGATAAACTACATCCGCGTCCTCGGTAAGACGATAAACTACATCCGCGTCCAGGGTAAGACGACAAACTACATCTGACAGCAAGGCCTCTGATCAGGAGTCTTTAAGGAGCGTGCAACCACCTCTTAATTGCTGGTGTTCCCAGGTCCACTCTGACCCGGGTGGTAGCACCTGTTAGGGTCCCAACTATGGGCAAATAGTTAACCCCCACAAAAGTGGTCAAAACACTATGAAAGTATAAAAATAGGTTTTAGTACCAGCAATACTTTTTTGGAAAAATTTCAACAGCAATACATTTTTTGAAAATAATATTACCATCAATGCATTTTGGGGGGAAAATATTACAAGGAATACATTTTTTTTTTAAATATTAAATAAAAATCTTGCCGGCATTAAATAGCCCATTATATGAGTTATATATATTATATTATAAATATTATATTATGATATACCCTAAATCAAAATAAACCAAAAATCATCTGACATAAGGCTAGATATGTGGGCACATAGTGAGAAACAAATTATCTTAAATCTAGCTGTGTAAGGAAAATAAATTATATAAACTAGTTTATTATTTAATTAGATAGATAGATAGATAGATAGATAGATAGATAGATAGATAGATACCAGACTGGAATAGAAGAGAAAATCAAATATGGCCATTCAAAATAAAAGCCCAATAAATTCGCTAGTATCATTGATAGTCAATATATATATGACAGAGAAATTATGCTGTCAAACAAAACCAAACCGATATTTAATTTATCACCGCTCATCAACCCTCATATATCTTTATAAGAATCAATTTAGATCTAAAATAGAGAATTGTTGTCATATCTGAACTGGTTCCGCTAAATTCTCACACCCCAGTATTGATAGAGTTCAAAATAGTTAAGGTGGTTCTTGTGGGAGGGAAAATTATTCGGTGTTACTATAATATGATATCTACCGTCCATTTTCTACTATAGTATAATAACTTCTATTCATTTTCTACCATGGTATTATATTTACCAACAGTTGGAAGTAGGAAATATATTAGTGTTAGGGGTTAGGATTAGTGTTAAAAGCTGTGAACAGTTTATGTTTATGTATTAAAAATCATGCCCTTTCCCAAGGGCATTACATTCACCAATGTGATAATACCTTGAGAAAGGTATGAATCCTTATCTTCCCCTCCCCCTCTCTATGAGTAAATAGCAGGACAGACCGGATTCTATAGCCTTATCTACCGCAGAAAGAAATGGCAACCAACTGCGAGAAAAAAAAATCTGCCTCGTCAGCTATGTATCGAAAGTCTGTAAACTGATTTGAAGTCATTAAAAAAAACAGTAAACAGGTAATCGTTTTTTCCTGGGCATTTTCCAGCAATAATGAGTACATCGTCATTTACAGTTGGTCGTAAATGATTTGGTAGCTATCATACTATATTACCACCGCTTATTCTCCATTCTTTCTCAACCTCTTTCCTATAAACGCATCGTTGAAAATCTATCACGATCTATCGCTATTTTGGTAACACAAGTTCAGACCTTTGCAGCTATGTATACAAATTATAAGGAGGAAGGTCCACTCTGACAGTATTTCATCGAAAACTGCTACTTTGTAGGACAGTCATCTAGCCTTATTTATTACCTAGCTTTATTTATTACCTAGCCTTATTTATTAGTTTATATTTAAAATCTATTAATTTATATTTAATATAAAATGTTTTTATTAAATTTATCTAATAACTAGACTTTAATAATTATTTCTTTAATTATTATTTTAATTATCATATCAGGTCATCCCATAAGTTCTGTCCGAATTTTAACTTTTTGTTAAAATGAATGAAATTTAAAGAGTATTTTATAATTTCTAATGGAGCTGAACATTATTTTTATGCTTAGATGCATTTAAACTAATCAAATTTTGTTTCAGAGAAGATTAAAATTAAATTTTGTTTGATTAAAACCCTGCTAACATGGAAGTACCCAAGAATCATTTCAGGCACATAATGCTTTAGGAGTTCAAGAAAGGAAACTCAGCAGCCGAAACGGCTAGAAACATTCACTCAGTTTATGGAGGGGAATGTGTGAATGAAAGAACTTGCAGAATTTGCAAAGTTCAGAGGTGGAGATTTCACCCTTGAAGATGAAGATCAAGCCGGACGTCCAGTTGAGTTTGATGAAAAGCTTCTTGAAGCAGCCCTTGAAGAAAATCCTGCTTTATCAGTTGAGGAATTGGCAGTGGTTCTCAGTTCAAACCATACAACTGTTCATCGTCATCTTCAACAACTTGGAAAACTTCCTAAACTTGGAAAATGGGTGCCTCATGATTTTATCTGAAAATAACCTCAAATCCCGAGTTGACATCTGCTCTTCTCTCCATTCTCGCCAACTTGTTTCACCTTTTTTGGATAGACTTGTGACTGGCGACGAAAAATGGATCTTTTATCGAAATGTTAAGCGTCGTAGACAATGGCTTGTTAAAGGGGAAGGGCCCCAGCCACAGCCGAGAAGGGAACTTCATGGGCAAAAGGTTCTTATTTCAATCTGGTGGGATCGCCAATGAATAATCCACTTTGAATTCTTACCACCTAATGCAACAATTAATGCTCAAATATACTGTCAGCAATTAGAGCGTTTGAACCAAGCTTTGAGGAAAAAAAGACCCACTCTAGTGAATCGAAAAGAGGTGATGTTTCATCAGGACAATGCGCGAAGCCACACAGCAAGAATCACGTCACAAAAGATCGAAGAACTTGGTTGGGAGAAAATTCCTCATCCATCTTATTCTCCCGATCTTGATCCTTCAGACTACCATTTGTTTCGTAGCTTACAGAATCAATTGGAAGAAACAGCTTTTGTAAAACAGGAAGAGGTTAAAACTGACATTTGTGAGTTCTTCGCATCAAAGCCAAAAGAATTTTACAATGGAATTAGTAAGCTTGTTAATAGATGGAAGAAAGTCATAGATAATCAGGGAAAATACATTGTTGATTGAATCTGTAATTATATGTAAGATTTGGTCACTTGTTTTCTTTATTCAAAATTCGGACAGAACTTATGGGATGACCTGATATTATATGTATTATTATTTGTATATTATTTATTTTAGGCGCTATCTTCTTACTTATATTCCTTAAAGGTATTTTTTATTAAAATAATATTTAAAAAAAAAATAATTTTAATTTTCTAAGTAATTTTCCTTATAGAAACTAGATGTTAATATTTTGAAATATAGGTCAAGGTCATTTTAACTGGTGTCTCAATTCTAACACTCGCCACTACCACCATGAAACTGGGTTTAACTTTTGTCGAGAAGATTTACTGCGTCCTTTATTATATTCTTCTTTTTCTTTTTCTTTTTTTTTTTTTTTACTTATTTTTTACCTTTTCATCTTCCTCTCTTCTCCTTCTTTCTTGATTCTTTAAAGTTTAATTTATTTCTTAACTCCTTGGTGTTGACAAATCCTGCAACGAAGGTCTTGTAGGGTGAAATAGCTACACAAATGGCGTAATTTTGAATTTCCATTCTATGTAAGATATATATATATATGATTACAAATATATCTGTAAAAGGAAAAATATGTATAAAAGACATTATGAATAATGACAAAAGGAAAACTTACCACAGACGATACGTCTCCTCCACTAACGAATTTTATCAAGTCAAATTTAAGTATTTCATTTTGCAACAAGTATTCATACGCACAATGTAAGAATATTGTTAGTTTTTCAACATTTTTAAATTTAAAAATGCTATATATACAATAAAAACATTTACTTACTTTTGTAACGTACGTAAGTAAAACTTAAGACTTCAATATTAAAATAAAGCAGTATTTAATTACAACCGCTCATAAATACTTAACAAGAACAAACAAGTAAAAGTCAAGCAAAGATAATTAACCATTTCAGTGAATATCTTGTTAGTAGCGCGGCTCGGCCTAACGTCCGGTAAATACTAAATTAAAATCCAAATCATCGACGCAGAATAATTCACACTAATTCGACTGGATAGTTCCACTCAATAGTCACTCAACAATAAGTCAATAATTACATCAGTCAGTAGCCTGACACCGCTATTTATATACCTGACGGAAAACATATATTCAAAAGTCCAGAGTGTCACGCTCGAACCCCGGTGTCGGTACTTACTCATGTTCTTCTTATAAATTACATCACTTAGCACCTTCGTAATTTACCTAGACTTTTCAGTTAGCTTGATGTGTATTCGTGTGCACTCTTAAATTTAAAAATTTTGGTATATAAAAAAATTGGGTTAAAACAGATAGATTTACTAGGCCAGTTAATTAAATTTGACGAATAAAAAAGACAACAAAATGGTAAGAATATTTGCAATATGATTGAGGACATATATATATATATATATATATATATATATATATATATATATATATATATTAGTAGGACTTTTGACTAAATTGATCCTCGAAGAGAATAGTTTTAAAGTCAGAATCTTTGGGATTCACTCTTCCGAGGAAGGTTGTTGTTCTTTAGAGTTATCCTGGTGGAAACTACATTCTTGGAGTAAATCCAAATCCCGGTTTAATGTATATTTATACATAAACATTTAACAGCCGGCAAGAAAGACGCAGATCGGAGTTAAAATATATTTTCAAAACAGAAAATAAAGGATTAAACCGGGATTTGGATTTACTCCAAGAATATAGTTATTATATATATATATATATATATATATATATATATATATATATATATATAGTATATATATTATATAGTATATATAGAAAGATTATAGTTACTATATTGTATATATATATATATATATATACATATATATATATATATATATATATATATATATATATATATATATATATATATATATATATGTATAGGATAAAGGACAAGTAGAAAACAGATCTTAATCTAATATGTTTCACTTCATTAAATCTCTGACGAACCTTTAATAAAGTGAAAGATTAAGATCTGTTTCCTACTTAATTTTTATCTTATTCTTTTTTCGGATTCTTATCGATACTGTATATATATATATATATATATATAGTGCTTAAACATTGGAAAACATAAGGAAAATTATTTCCTTTTAATAATATGTTTGCTTGATGAAATTCGCGAGACCGGAAACACGTGTTGCAATATGGAAAATAAAGTATAATATATATTTAAAAAGTCCACATCATCAACAAAACAGTTTTGTTTCTCTCTTCTCTTTAAAATATACATTTTTCTCTCGTTAGAATAATTATAAACTTTCCCGATTTTTTTCACTGCTTTTTGCAATTCAATTTGAGTGAAGCCAATGTTGCAGGAAAACTATCAAGCACTCTATATAAACCTCGTAACATGAGCTATGTTTTGCATTAAGAGCAAAGAACATCTGCTCATCCAGTAAAAAATTTGTTCGCGTGTAACTTTGTCTTTTTTTTTTTGTTTGTTTTTTTTGCAAAAACTTGTAACCACCTTCGGTTTTATCAATTTTTCTACCAAACACGGAGATCTGGAAATTGAAAAGTTACTCTTGATCTATCTTAGTAATTTTGCTCAAACACTAATATTCCTTGGTTATAATCTATTACATTGGAATCGAAATTGTAGGTGTGATGAATTGGATCGGGATTACGATTCCAATGTAATAAATTATAACCATGGAATATTAGTGTTTGAGCCTTTTATATTATATTCTTACTCTGTCCTGGACATTGAGTTCTACCTGGATTCTATCCTCTTGGGAATTTATATATATACATATATATATATATATATATATATATATATATATATATATATATATATATATATATTGACCACTAATATTATCAATATAATCAAATTGCTTTATATATCAACATTTTTTAAACCAGCATTTAAAATCGTGTCTTGATCCCGGAGTTTTGGCGTCAAGTGGAAATAGGTAACTATTTCAGCTACAAATAGAAAGGATAAACACATCCTATATTTATTCAAAAATTCTGACTAGTTTATTCTTGATACTGCATAATTGCTAATAGCTGTTGCTCTACGTGTCAGGATTCCCAGAGCGAAATAATTTTCTACTCACAATGATAAACATGGACGCCAGCAAAATCACATGAGTCTGCTGTGTAAACAATTGCAAATTGCGTAGAAGAACCAGCACCATTTTATCGAGCATAACTTCCGGAATGCTACGCACCTTGTAACAAAACCAAACATGTTCCGAAATGTAAGCTGACCCTGAAGGTTTTAGTCAACAGGGCGCCATTCTGTGAATGCCTATTATCTACTGGATTGAACAAATATGCATATTTAAGCGCATTAAGAATTTTCCATAGATAGATAGATAGAGCTTTTGTGCATACTGCTGATTTTGATAAACCAGCGATATGCACACATGGTCTACAAGAATGTACACAATGGAGAGGAACAGTACACTAATTTTTGAAGAAAAGTGTTGAGAAAGACACACCGCAACAACTGAACATAATAAATCTATCTATCTATCTATCTATCTATCTATCTATCTATCTAACTATCTATCTCATTCCGTTCATATATATCTCATTCCGTTCATATCTATCTATCTATCTATCTATCTATCTATCTATCTATCTCATTCCGTTCATATCTATCTATCTATCTATCTATCTATCTATCTATCTATCTCATCCCGTTCATATCTATCTATCTATCTATCTATCTCTCTATCTATCTATCTATCTATCTATCTCATTCCGTTCATATCTATCTATCTATCTATCTATCTATCTCATTCAGTACTCCACAACAAAGGCATTTTCAGGGACTCAATATGTAAAATTTTATATATATGTATCTATAGCTATGAGAATTTTTTCATTTCCGAACAGGATCCATATATATATATATATATATATATATATATATATATATATATATATATATATATATACGTTTGTATGGCTCAATAACTTTGTATATATAGCCGAATTAGTAAATATAGGTAGATGTACGATCGTATACAAATACATATAAATAGTCTATGGTGTAAGAAAAAACAGTGCTCAATGTTAACTAACAGATCTAATTAATATATAAAGAAAAATACATAATATCTTACATTGATTGCACATGTTCTACATTCGTCAGGTGCAAATTGGACATGAACAGAACATTTTAGGATTTTTTTTAATCAATATTCTACGACTACCAAGAAATTGATTAGTGGTCTCGAAAGGATTAAAACAAAAATAAACAGACATAGTATGTCTAAATTATTTAAGCAAACATTTTTGAATATATATATATATATATATATATATATATATATATATATATATATACATGGGTTGGACAAAATAATTAGAACAGTTGCAAAATCCAGTTCTATATTTCAAAGACCTATTATATTAAGAACTTTAACTAAAACTTCGTAATTTCAGGTTATATCTATTGTAAATACGTTTATTTATCTAATTTACTGTCTTTGTCTTATTTATTTTTAGAATTTAGTAAAATTTAAGCTAAATGCGTGACCTCTCCGAGTTCGAAAAAGGGCAAATTGTTGGAGCTCGCATAGCAGGAACCTCGATCACTAAGGTTGCTGAACTGTTTTGTTTTCAAGAGCTACCATATCAAGAACATTGATGCAATTCGAGAAACAGGGCAAGACTTCTAGCCACCGTAGCAATTCGGGCCGGACTTGCAAACTTACTGACAGGGACTGACGTGCATTGAAACGCAATGTGTCAAAAAATCATCGGACAAATGCGGCTAAAGTGACTGCTGAGTTGAATAACCATCTGAATAGTTCAGTTTCTACTAAAACTGTTCACCTTGAGCTCCATAAGGCTGCATATCATGGAAGAGCCACTGTGAGGAAACCTCTTCTCTCCACTCACAACATTCAAAAGTGGTTGAAGTGGTGCAGAGATCACAATGCCTGGTCTGTAGACCAATGGAAGCAAATCATATTCTCAAACAAGTCCAGTTTTTCTCTTTTCCCAACTTCAGGGCGAGTTTATGTGTGGAGGCAGCCCAAAGAAGCTTGCAACCCTGACTGCCTTCTTCCAACAGTGAAGCATGGAGGTGGATCAGTGATAGTTTGGGCCGCCATATCATGGAAATATCTCAGTCCATTAGTTGGCCTGCATGGTAGAATCAAGAGCAAAGAGTACCTGAACATTTTGGGAGATCATGTTCATCTAATGGCCAAGACTTTATTCCCTGATGGTGACTGCATCTTCCAAGACGATAATGCTCCAATACATACCGCTCGAGTGGTTACAAATTGGTATGAAGAGCATGAAAGTGAGCTAGAACACATGTAGTGGCCTCCCCAATCTCAAGATATCCATATTATTGAACATTTGTGGTGCATTTTGGAGCAATAAGTTAGGAGCCGCTATCCTCCACCGTCGTGTTGTAAAGAGCTGGAGAAGGTTTTGATGGAAGAATGACTGTAAATTCCTCTGGATGAAGTCAGGAAGCTGTATGATTCCATTCCTAGACATATTAAAGCTGTCTGTGAGGCTAAAGGAGAACAACCCCTTATTAAATAAATTTTCTTTGAATTTAACAAGTGTTCCAACCCCTGTATATATATATATATATATATATATATATATGTGTGTGTGTGTGTGTGTGTGTGTGTGTGTGTGTGTGTAATCACCCTTATTGGGAAAGTATTGCTTTTAAATTTTCCTTCTTTTTTTTTTTTAGGAGGATATGGTATTTCAAACAGTTATAATAAAAAAAATAAATTATTATGTTATAAATACAGCATACCAAATCTTTTGTAATTCTCCAGACTTGCAATTTAGTGGAAATTTCTGGTGTAATTCATACACATACCAATCGTATATCACAAACAGCCAAATTATTATTAACATAATACAAAAATTAGTGGCTAATACTAAAATACTATACAGGACTTAGTGTAAAGAAATATTCAAAATACTTGAAACAATTATTATGTAAAAGAAACAGTTTTTTTTTTTTACGGCAGCGTATATTTGAAAATGTGTTTAGAATTTTCACATCAGGCACTGCCAGGTTTTGTTTTTTGGGGTTTTTTTATTTTTGTTTTTTTTTTGTTTTTTTTTAACCAGGATGCAAATTTATTAATTCATATACTTACATATACTTATAAACAGAAATCGCTCTGTATATGACGTCAGATAATATAGAATTTATGTTCATTATTTTATAATTGCGAAATGAAAGTTTTCCTAAATAGTCACTTCTTCTAGATCATTCAGTAATAATTCAGGTGACCCCCAGGGCACTGTTCTTGATTCCAGTTTGTTCTTAATTTTCATCAGTGACCTTCCTGATTGCATCAGCTCTCAACTTGGTATCTAAGCTGATGACACAACTATTTACTAATGACTTGATAATAAGTCTGATCAGTTTGATAAAGTCAAATAAGCGCCTGTTGTTTAAAATGGCCTACAGCCTGTTGTTAACTTGGGAAAATAATGGCTTGTTCCTTTTAACGCCTCCAGAACAAAACTACTTTCTATGAATCATTTGAGAAAGTCCTATCTTCTTTCCATCATAGTATGGCTACTGCTAACCTCCAGGGTAGTGACTCCTAAGTCTAATATTCTCGGCTGTCAGGAAGTGGAAAGACTATATTGGATCCATTGCTTGGTTAGTTCCTTTGTATAGGTTAGTTCTTTTATATCTTAGATATTATATAAACATTAGTCCATATAATATCCAACAATTACTTAAAGAAATCAAACTGTATTCCAACATTTAAACTCAACAAAACTACAACATAAATCACCGCCTCTGGTAATCATGGCCAAACAAACATGTATATACAACAAAGCTGAATATCATGTATTCAATTGCAAAACAGAATAATGTATATCATATTTTTATTACTTCAAAACCCCCTTAAAAAATTTTTAAAAAAGCATTAAATGGCCCATAATTTGATAGGTCATTAAACAAAGAAATCAATTAATCATTCTTATTGTACATCTTAGAAGGCAACAAATATTTTATGACTGTATTAAAGACGTGTGCTTTAGATTAGATAGCGTTTTTATTCCGAATGCGTATTCAGTATCATTATAGCATTGCGCGCATGCGTATAATTGGAACAATCTTGTTTTATATAAATTAGACTAAAAAAATTAAATTTAACATGTCTTCTACGTATTAAATGATGTGCAAAATTAAATCGATTATCTTCATTCCTAATCTGTACACGGAATGTTTAGAATACGTCAGGATTTTTTTTTTTTTTTATCAGGATAAATATTCCATGAATATCTTTAACAGAGAACGGAAGGGAACAATCGACTAGATTGTTCAACTGTCGAACTCTCTTGCTTTGAGACAGGCCCTGAACCCGTTTATACGGGTTCTAAGGGAATATTTTTGGCCGAGCCTACGAGCTCGGAGAACTCACGTTAAACTCGGCCTTGTGCCACAAACATCCCTCGTTGGGGGCTGTTAAATATTGACACAACGATGACACTCAACAACTGTTTTATTCAAACTGCCCCTCGGTCTCTTTTGCTCCCAGCTTTCCTTCGTGGGATCGGAAGTGCTTAAACGTCATCATCACTGATGTTATGCAACATTTGATGTACAGACTTTTCTAAGAGACCATAAATCTGAAAACTATGCTGATTTAATAAACAACATGCTAACATCTTATCAAAGAATGAATGTCAGAAAGATTTTTTTTCAACGGCTGTAGGATCCATGAGCAATAAATTTTGTGACAGGTTCCACCAGGGTATAAATGAGACAGAATCGCGTTATCAAGGCCGGTTCAACCGAAGTATGATCGATAGATACTGCTGGTTCCTAAATCAAGCTCAATACACAATCGAAAAAAAAGACGTATCAATCATTCTTGAATGTATCAATATTAAAATGAATATTCTACACTGACGTGCCAAACGCTACTGGTTATATGCTTAGGTTTGGTTTGGTTTGGTTTGTTTTACGGCATATCAACCTCAATGGGTTATTTAATGCCGACAACATTTTTAGGATAGATTCGTATGAATAGTATATGTATTCTTTGGTTTAGATTGGTTTGCTTTATTTTGTTTTACGGCATATCAACCTCAATGGGTTATTTAATGCCGACAATATTTTTAGGATAGATTCGTATGAATAGAATATGTATTCTTTGGTTTAGATTGGTTTGGTTTATTTTGTTTAATAGCATATCAACCTCAATGGGTTATTTAATGCCGACAATATTTTTAGGATAGATTCGTATGAATAGAATATGTATTCTTTGGTTTAGATTGGTTTGGTTTATTTTGTTTTACGGCATATCAACCTCAATGGGCTATTTAATGCCGACAAGAAATTTTATTTCTGGTAATATTTTGTTTTGTCAAAAATCTGTTTCTGGTAATATTTTCCTTCAAAATTGTATTGCTGGTAATAATTTTTTTCAAAAAAGTATTGCTGGTAATAGTTAACTATTTGCCGATAGCTGGGACCCTAACAGGTTCTACCACCCCGAGTCAGGGTGGACCTGGGAACACCAGCAATTAAGAGGTGGTTCCACGCTCCTCAAAACCTTCTGATCAGAGGCCTTGCTGCTGGACGTAGTTTATCGTCTTACCCAGGACAGTGGTTTTATTCTTAGTATTATGAAGATAACCAAATAGCCCGGCGAATGGTAATAATTCTTCAACTAAAAATGGTTAGAAAATCTCTGGAGAGATGTTGGAAGATGCCGTCTCGATAATTATCAACTGGTTCCTGATAATTTTAGGTGCAGGATGAGGCACGCGAATATACCTCTCCACCACGTACCATACTGGATCCTCGATTGGGCTCATGAAAGGCAAACACAGTAATGAAACCTTTCCTTGGAAATCTCCTCAAACCAATTCTGAGAAATTTAGACAAACAACTAAAATACAACCGCTAAAGATCATTCAATACATGTCTAGAGAGCCACTCAAGGTAGAGGATTATTCAATGAAATGTGTAATATGAATGTAAGAAGAGGTGGTGGAAAGTGAAGATTATAAGGATAAGGAGATTAGATAATCATCATTATTCGACCGTAGTCGGGATCATTGAACTTTAGTATAGTATGTGCTACACTAGGGCTACATATAGTTTTGAATCCAGGGTTACTTTCTCCTAGACCGGTTGCCACTCAACGCTAAAGAATCCAGTCTGTCCTGCTATTTACCCAAAGCTGGGAGAGGAGAAGTAGAAGATTCATACCCTTCATGTGATTCATACACTTTTCCAAGGGTATTTGCACGTAAGTGAATGTAATGGATCCGGCTGGAATTCGAACCCGGCTCTCCTATTCCTCAAGTGTATTGCACTTAATCTCAACATGATTGACTTGAAGAGGTTAAAATTGTAGTGTTCAGAGAAGCATCCCCATGGGAGAATAAACTTTGTGGCACAGACACTACGCGGGTGCTTTAATAATATAATTCTGTTTGGATACATGTAGTTCATGAATAGATATAAATGGCCACAAATAATCGTAGTGGTCAGATATCAAGGTGTTTAGGGTGGGCCATCAGACTCAACTCACACCACGTAAACACACCTGAAACCAGTACGGCATCACCACAATCCTTCATGGTACCTTGCTGACAAGTGAGATTTATGACCTCTTTGAGTCTGTTGCACACCTGACCCTTACCATCAGCCCGAAACACTGGTACCGTTACTTAGTAGACTACACCAAATGTTGCTAGTCAAAATAGTTACTAGGCGTGATGCAGGTTTACAAGGTCACACGATGAAAGACAAACATATAAGAACGCAAACTGTGTTGCCCATATTATATGTAAATGTTTTATTCAGGGCTTCACCTGTTCACCCGGGTAGATGAAACTTTGGGAAAATTTCAGCTATGTCAGCCCTTCCCCCTGCCAAATTCTCACCTATTTACTCATCCCTGCTTGCATCAGGTTTTTATCTCATTGGGGTGTTTTGTAGGACCCACTGTGAATATGCGGTATTTTGGTGTATGCAGGATCGTGAGGTGATGGATAAGTTCTTTTGGTGAATGAGCAAATTGTAATGAATGAATGAGTCTCGAATCTGAATAACTAGGACTAGTATAGTTAATGAAGACCATCCCCCTTCTTTTTATCGCCTTGTGCCAGAATTCTGTATGTTACAGGATAAATATCCCCCTATTTACTCATCCCTGAGTGGTGTCTGGCGACACGAATGGAGGCTTCGAAACCGCGCGATAGACATATGCCCGTCTTCTGCCAAAAGCGGACTAGAACTTTATCCGATCCCATGTATCATATGACTGTTAATATTGACCAGCACTCGGATATACCATATTTCTGGTATTGTTGCCACTTGATCTCTAATTATTTCTGTATATTTTGTATCTATTTTTACATAAACCATATGAATTGCTTATTTCTGTAATTGGTCATGGGTAAATGAAATTGTGGAACGCGAAACAGCCCTGCACTTAATATGGTTGAAACAAACCTTGGGGGGAATATTTATTTGCAAGCCGTAATATCAATTCTCACAAAATGCACACTAATTTGTTAGTACTCTTTATAAATGTTAATTCCGCTATAAAACGGCAGCTGGTTTTATTGTTTTCGAACAGAGATTGAAACCCAGTCATATAAATACTTTTGGGAAATCTTTACTTTCACAAGCCATGCATTTTATCTCCCAAGAATTTTTTTAACATGTCATGACAATATATCAAAGTACGATCTCCGAAGTTAAGCAACTTCAAGACTGCTCAGTACCTAAATAGGTCACCACTTGGGAATATTAGGTGCTGTGAGCTTGGATGTGCAGGTGGTGCAATGAATAATGGCTCGGAATTGAAGATCAGGAAAGCCGTGTTCCAATTCCAATCGAGTTTGTTGTATTCCATAACGCGTAAATACCCTTGGGAAAGGTATGAATCCACCGCTTCTTCCCACGCTCAGTTAATTATTAGGATTTGTATCAGTAAATCCTTATTTTTTTTTTTAAATTCTTCCAATCCATAAAAATTTTCTGACTTTAAATAACCTGCAAAAGGTAGATAAACCGTCAAAAGAAAAAAAAAACTATTCAATATATCAGAGAAATATTTTTTTATATTGTTATTATTGTTTTATGAGAAATATCGGATAAATTGTGCGGCTATTACTATCTGTATCTATTAATCATCAATTTAAAAATGCACCAAAAGAATTTAAATTTAAAATCTATTTCTTGCCTAAATTCTCTCAGTGTTTAAATCAAATATATTCAGGTAATTTTTTTTAATTATATTAGCTCATTCATTTATATAAAACTGTTGAATATTATGTAAGCTTTAAAAGACTACGTATGCGATATTTTTTCTTTATTAAATCAATAACTTTGAACTTTGAAGTTTAAGGAAGCAAATTGCAACTATAATTTTCGTGATTATTGCTTTTGCGATTGGGGCCATTATCAATTACGTTATAAAACACCATACATGTTTTTTTTAGCGCTTTTCGCTTAAATGAAACACTTTAAATATCAGGAATGTTACTCTCACTACTCTTGAAATTTGGGACCATTACGACCAGAGCTCAAAACTTCAGTTAAAATACAAAAAAAAGAAGCCCTTTTTATTTAAAGGAAACACTTTATATTTTCTCTTTGAAATATAAGAACTTTTCACTTTAAGGAAACAAATTGCAACTCTTTTTGGCAGATCCGAATTTCCAGTATAATTGCTTTTACACTTTGAGCTATTATTAAGTAAAAGTTATGAATTTCCTCGAATAAAACCATTATCAGATGAAAGATGTTCCTTCTAGAGACGAAATTAGTTCATTTTTTTTCTCTGCAATTAATATTTTAGTTTAATTTTATCAATAAAGTATGATAAAGTTCAATCTATAAATTAGAATCAATAACAGGTTAAAAAAAATAATTAATAATAAGACATAACAACTATAATAATGAAATTTAATAAATATTATGTGACAGACAGAAGATACCGTAGATCTTAGCAACCGTAGATCTTAGCAACCGTAGATCTTAGCAGCCGTAGAATAACCTTTTTTTCTTTTCTTGATATGTCAAAACCTTTCAAGCTTTCACTTAAAAGAAGTACTTTACGGTTTCTCTTTGGCATATTTGAATTGCCAGAATCACTACACTTGCGTTTTAGGACTTACGGATTGTTTTTATTTTTCCTCTGGGTTTAACGGTGGATAACTGAAACCATAAGATGGCTTATTGTATATCACATATACGTCTATGATGAAAATTTATCCGATTTAACCAGTAGAGAAGACAATATTTATGAATAAAAATGACAATAGGAAAACTGGTAATTGCTGACGCGTTTCGTCCAATGTGGACTTTAAATACGAAAAAAAAAATTTTTTTTCGTATTTTGCTTTGATAAAGTCCACATTGGACGAAACGCGTCAGCAATTACCAGTTTTCCTATTGTCATTTTTATTCATAAATATACGTCTATATAATAAAACACTGTAACAAATTTTATGTCACCGAAAAAGGTTGGTTCTTGCAGTATTAGCAACCACAGCAAATGATTATTTCGTTATTGAAGCAAAAACTTCCATCTTATCGTTTAAAAGAAGCACTTTAGTGTTTCATTTTGCCATATCCCAATTGACAACAAAGATAAGAGAACTTAAAGAACCCGATGGAATTCGAACTCGGTTCTCCGACTTCTCATTCTGAGCCGCTGTATGTTTATCTATCTATCTGTTCATATTTATCTCTATATTAATATCCTGTCCCGTTCTTTTTTTTCTATTGTTCCTTCTTGTAATAATCTTCAATCTGCTTAATAATGTTTTCCTTTACTCCATATTGTTTCACACTCACTAACATCTAGCGTGTTAGTGGCTTTATTGCCTTGATTGGGTTGAAAAAGTCCCTAAGCTCGTTAAGGTCCAGGGGTACAACATGTACTGCAGCCGTAAAAGCAGTGGTGTGTCTTGGATAAGATAACCTCACTGTGTCCAAAATTCTCCAAGCTGGATTGAATTTAGAGTGTTCCTTCTCCGAGACTGGCTACCAACCAAGACTCACTCGTGCTATTTACCCATAGCTGGGGGGGGAGAAGAGATAGTTTCATACCTTTCCCAAGAGTATTTTCCACGAAAGTGAATATAACCAACCCGACTGTAATTCGAACTCGGTTCTCATACTTTCTTTCTTTCTATCTTTCTTTCTTTCTTTCTTTCTTTCTTTCTCTCTATCTATCGATCTATCTATCTATCCAATTGTTCATATGTATCTCTATATTAATGTCTTCTTTCTTTTTTCTATTGTTCGTTATCTTTGTGTATAGGCATCGTATTCAGATCATCTCTTCCTATCTATTTGTTTATCTCAGAATATTCCCTTCTCTTCCCAAACCCCTCCTATCTGTTTCTCTTCTATATTAAGATTTCGCAGAGAAAAGGGTTCTGTAAGAAGAAGCGTAATCTCGTTCGCTGTTTGGTATCCCGGGAAACTCTCACGAGATTTTGCCCAAGCTCGGAATATGACTGGAAAATCGATTCGCGTTTTACGGGAGAACCTTCGACGTGTGAAAAATGTAAGTCCCGGGGGATATTGACAGTATTTTATGCCTGGTCACGAAACAACCTTGTGAGTAAACTCTACGACAAGCTAGGCATGAATATAGATAAACATGTCTTAACGTAGAAAGCATATTGACTGTTCCCACACAGGTTCATATTCTAATAATTTGTTTTCTAAGCGTTTCACCCCAAGCAAATCGATAATGCCACGAAGACAAGGTTTTACTGAGGAGGAAAGAAATTGACGAGACGCTAGTGAGGAGAATGGACGATAAAAAGAAGAGGATTCAGGAAGACAGAAAATATCAGTTGACGTTTCATTTACATTTTTATGGATTGTATGTGGCGGGGAAGCACGTAACAGGATGAGAGTTCCACAGACAAGAAATTCTAGTGAAGAAACTTTTACAAAAGAACATACGGTGAAATCTAACTATTTCAACAGTAAAATGGTGATACCTAACTGCCAATCTAGTAGCACGCTTAAATTCTTACGGTCGAGATAACAGGGATGGAAGCACATTCGAACAATTTCGATGAAAATATTTATAGAAAAGACAGATGGAAGCCACCTCACGGTGGTGTGAAAGTAACTGACATCGAGATGCCAGATCAGGACTGATAACATTGCAACCCTTTGGATTTTGTCGAGGATCTTGAGATATATAGCAGGGCCTCCAGACCAAATATGGTAGCAATATTCAATAGACGGACGAATCCTAGATTTAAAAACGCCAAAGAAAGATGCTAGGAAAAACATTGTCTGGTACGATACAATGAACCAGCAAACCTGGTAATTGATTCAGTATGATGATTTCACTTCATGCCAGTAGAAAACGTGAGACTAAGAAAACATAAGGTTTGATTTCCTGACGATGAGCATCAGCCAAGCTGAAAGAAGGCAAAAAATAATTCGCAATTATCACTAAAAGATAGCAGCTTGTTTTGGAGGAGTTAAAATTTACAAGTCATTTCTTGCCCCAGTTGACAACTGATTGGAGGTCATTTTCGGGATCAGCTGTCAATTTACCTTTATCTGACTTTTATTTTTTATTTTTTTAAATATACGGTCTTAAGTAGTTGCCGGGGTGAGTCGTCAGTGATGTAAATTGATTTGATTCATCAGAGAGTTTCGGGTCTTTTAACATCATACACCCCATCACCAAGCCAATCCAATCAGGGAAGATCAATCACTTATTCCCAATCGCAATCAAACGGTATCAGATGCTCTGGTCTTTTTAATAAATTGGATGAAAATAGACCACGTTCTATTGGATGTTTGCTACAACCAATCCACTGCGCGAACTGACTTTTAAATGGTCCACGGGGGGGACTAGCTTCTTTCTTTCTTTATTTTATTTTATTTTATTTTTTATTTTTTTCGCTGAATAGCAGTGTAGGGGACCCAGGTAGCATGCAGTGCTGGCCTACGAAAAGGTGGCCTTGTGCCAGACACTACTTACGACTATCGAATCCACTAACAAAGTAAAAAAAAAAAAAAAAAGGATAGAATAAAAATGACTATATTCAACACGTGCATCATAGAGCAAAAGGATAGGTAGCCAGGAGTAACGACAAAACGAGTCTGGTGGAAAACAAATATAAAACTTTATTTGAATGACAAATAATCTTGTCTCAACAGCGGAGACTATCACAAAAGGTAAGGACTGTTCTTAGCCAGTAGGCAGATTGTATAATGTAGTGACTAGTATTAGGTTGGTGCAAAAATAATGACGTAATAATGTCGTTTTTGACGTATTTTTAACGTCAAAAACGACATTATTACGTCATTATTTTTGCACCAACCTAATAGAATGTTAAAGTTCCGCGCCAATACAAAATCAGAATGGCTAAGGCGGGAAAATTTTCTTCAGAAGGAAGGTTCTGGAATATAGTCTTCTTGTACAAAAGGTGTATGCGTACACAATAAGGAAAAATACTCACTGCGAGGTTTAATAATGTGTGTGTAATGTTATCTTTATTTTTTTTACTTTGTTAGTGGATTCGGTAGTCGTAAGTAGTGTCTGGCCACCTTTTCGTAGGCCAGCACTGCATGCTACCTGGGGACCCCTACAGCAGCTTCAGTGAATAACCGGGGAGGTAATTTAACGTTTTTAATCTTAATCTCCTATGTTATATTCCAAGCAAGGTTTGGTGCCTTACTCTAAACATTTACGGTTTTGATTTGTTAATTTCTACTATAAAATTCTATAACTTAAAACTACTTCTAAACATTATATAAAATCACCGCTACTATCACATTTTTATAAATATCGTTTAAACTGATTCTTAACATTGTTACAAGTCAGTTATCGTTTTAAAGAACGTATTCTCAAGTTTTCAAATAATTATTGAAGAGTAAATATTCATTGAAGTGAAGAGTAAATAGTTTTATCCTCAGCAGGGTACCCAGTAAATTCAGAAAGACGTGAGACAACCGTTGATAGACGGAAAGATACATAGATTTTATATAAGTCATTTGACTATGAAAAACAAATAATCAAGCGATGATTGATTTTTGTTTGAATTTCAGTTGATTAAATTCTTTGTATCAAGAACAGTTTTTTTTTATTTAGTCGCCGGAAATATGAGGGAAAGATAGCTTGGTGATAGATATATATATATATATATATATATATATATATAGATAGATAGATAGAGAGAGAGAGAGATTGAACAACCTAACATATATATATATATATAGAGAGAGAGAGAGAAGGAGAGAGAGAGAGAGTGAGAGATTCAAAAACCTAAGATAGATAGATAGATAGATAAATTTTATATAAATCATTTGACTATGAAAAACAAATAATCAACCGATGATTGATTTTTGTTTGAAATTCAGTTGATTAAATTAATTCCTCTTTGTATCAAAAACAGGAGGGTATTTTTTTATTCAGTCTCCTGAAAAATACGGAAAGAATAGCTTCGTGTGATATATATATATATATATATATATATATAGAGAGAGAGAGAGAGAGAGATTGAACAATATAAGATAGATAGATAGATAGATAGATAGATAGATAGATAGATAGATAGATAGATAGATAGATAATCAACTTTCATAGACAGATAGAAAGAGAGAAAAATGGATGTGTGAAAGAGAGAGAGAGAGATATCTACATACGTCTATATACCTGTTTTGTACTATTTGTTTTATACATCGCCTGCTTGTATAGTCACCAATCGATATATTTTCTATAACTCTCTACTTCCCAATGTTTGCCACGCACGTTTAGGATCACTACCCTTTTTTGGAAATCTCAGTGTTCATTCTCAAAGGGAATACTACGAAAAATATAATTGTAACTACGTAATTGCGTCAATACAGAATGTCCCATTACTAAACTCCCTAACTTCTGGCTGGTACCATAGAATATATATATATATATATATATATATATATATATATATATGAAGAATTATAGTCTTAAGGTGTGCTATATTTATGGAATAAAGTGCTCAATATCAGAATAAAGTGCTCAATATCAGAGATAGAGCGTGTGTAAATATAAAAGTGAACACGGAAGTCAACACTTAGAGGCGACAGTCTGTTTCATGCTATATGCAATCGTCAGACCTGACGATTGCATATAGCATGAAACAGACTGTCGTCTCTAAGTGTTGAATTCTATGTTCACTTTTATATATATATATATATATATTAAGAAATGGACAAAGTCCGACAATTTATTTATTAAAGACATTTTTATGTTTAACGTTCTTTTTTATAGATACAAGTATTTAAGTAAATGCTCTGTTTATAATAAACAGTGTTAAATAACATTTACCGGCCTGAATGTCCGAGAAATTTTCATAGAAAATATTCGTCCTTTGACAGGATTCGAACCTGCAACCTATACGGAACCGTCATTTACGTTGACGTGCCTTACCGATCGGCCACAAAGGAGCGTTCGGTAGACAAGGTCGAATTTACTGCTTATAAACTTCAATCTTCCATGAATCTCGTACATTCATAACTGCTCTGGCGTATCAAATGTAAACAAATGACGTCATATATTAAGAAATGGACAAAGTCCGACAATTTATTTATTAAAGACATTTTTATGTTTAACGTTCTTTTTTATAGATACAAGTATTTAAGTAAATTTCTCGGACATTCAGGCCGGTAAATGTTATTTAATACTGTTTATTGTAAACAGAGCATTTACTTAAATACTTGTATCTATAAAAAAAAGAACGTTAAACATAAAAATGTCTTTAATAAATACATATATATATATATATATATATATACAGGTAGTAGTTCGTTGGTAGAATCCAGGCGAGTTCTATTAACACAACATAGAATTTAAAATATGTAAAAACTGACTCACGATTAATGACGATTGACATTGCATTTAAACATCTGAACATCAAACTTGACTGAATAACAAGAAGTCGGTAAGGTACCACAAGCGTGAAATGCGAGAAAAGCAACAGTTAGCATAGAGCTTATGGTTAAATCTAGAAATCTTAACTCTAAATAATGTGACTTTGCTGACAATCTTGTATTACGCCTAAATCTAACTCTAAGTACCAATGACGAAAGCTGATCAGAACAATTACCATTATAGAAAAAAGAACAATTACCATTATAGAAAAGACACAGGGAAGGTATGTTACGACGGTGCGTAGGTGACTGAAGCCGAGATGCCAGGTCAGGATCAATAACATTGCAGATACTTTTATGTATTTTATCTAGAATCAATAAATACATAGCAGAAGCGCAGAACCATAGGTGACAGCTATAAGTCTACCATTCGTCTATAAATTGAATATATGTATAAGATACATTCAGTATAAGATAGACTCTTCCCCCAAATTGTCTAGAATGACAAAGTGAACCAGCTTTGTTAGCAGCAATTTTATCCCGACAAGGCGTAATGGGTCCCATTCCTGGAGGTTAGCATTCGCCATGCTGATGAAAGTCAAAAAATAAATTCTCTCTTACAATCAAAAGAGAACAGTTTCGTTTTGTAGGCGTTAAAATTAAGAAGTCATTTTTTGTCCAAGTTTACAATGGATTGAAAGTCATTTTTTTAGATTAGCTGCTAATTTGACCTCATGGAACCTATCAGACTTACAACTAAGACAGGAGTAAATAGTTGTATCTTCATCATATATATATATATATATATATATATATTATAAAGCGTGTTTTTTTTTTTAGACACAGACGAATAAACACGTCCAAAAGATAACGTTCGAAAACCAGCCATAGACGAGTTTATACGTCATGATTCATTTTATGCCTTTCTGAGCTTGAGTTGAGAAATGATGATATCGGTCGTTGATGAAAATTAGGAACACCTTCAGTCCAAGGATAAGGCCTCGGGGAACACCTGTATTAATATGATTTGATAAGAAAGGTTGAATCAAATGAAAATATTCGTCCAGAAATACCATAACCTTTCAACTTGTGATAACCAATATGCCAAACCCTGTCAATCGCCTTCGAGATGTCCAGAGCAACAGGTTGAGTCTCACATTGTTATCTCAAGCTTGACAGTAATTATTTTTTAAATATTACTGAAAGTAATTTTTTCTATGTGGGGAAATCTATTACAAGTTACGTTTCAAAAATAGGAATCTATTTTATCGCGAAAATATTTGTCAGTGTTAGAATATTATTTTATTTCTCCACCCCAGCAGAAGAAAAAGAAGTCGGATACGGCGTAGAGTTCAAAAATGGGAGATTATTTAAATTAAGCAACGTCGAGATTGGTCAGTACTTAGATGGGTGACCGCTTGGAAATACCACGTGCTGTAAGCTTGGATTAGTAATTTAGTTTTGTATAAGAGATCCAGAAATTTCGTGACGGGAAAGATTTATAGGTTTACGACCACAACACTTTGAAACACCGGTTCTTGTACGATCATCGAAGTTAAGCAATGTCGAGCTTGGTCAGTATCTAGATGGTTGAGCGCTTAGGAATTCCAGGTGTTGTAAGCTGTGCCGGTAGGGTAATGGATAACGGACCACAAATGGAAATCGAACAGAGCTCCATTTCCAGTCGTGTTCGTTATATTCACATAGAAGCAAATACCGTTGGAAAAGATATGAATCCAACTCCTGTGACTCCTCAGTTACAGGTTAAATAGTATGACTTGTATCAGTCAATCATTATTATCCCCAATCAAAATTATCATAATTCAAAGATAGTTTATGGCTTTAAATAACGTGCAAAAAGGTTGATGAGCCGTAAAAAATAATAATCAATCATATACGATAGAAAATTTGAGACAACGTCGATTAACTGCTTCTCCGCCGGAGAAGTGGTTAATAAATATATATATATATATATATGTGTGTGTGTGTGTGTGTGTGTGTGTGTGTGTGTGTGTGTGTGTGTGTGTGAAAAGTGTATATAAATATAAATGAATATATGTATGTATAATCATTTATATATTATATGCGGTACTTATTAGAAAGCGCTCAATATCAGAGATAGAGCTAACATATTTGGTTGGATAGATGTAAGTTTGTGACCCTGGGTTTCACGCTGTTTGTCTGACGATCGCTAAAGCGTGAAACCCAGGGTCACAAACTCACATCTATCCAACCAAATATATATATATATATATATATATATATATATATATATATATTATAAAGCGTATTTTTTTCAGACACAGACGAATAAACACGTCCAAAAGATAACGTTCGAAAACCAGCCATAGACGTGTTTATACGTCATGATTCATGATTCATTTTATGCCTTTCTGAGTTTGAAACGAGTCAACTGATATATCTGGTAGAGGTGTTAGCCACCGCTCGGGTACTTCAAGGTACCTCAGTTTCTCTATTAAAAACAAATAAGAATTCGTTCAAAAATGAACCTTTTTCCCGAAATAATTGACGGAGAAGGGTTTAAAGAGCAGCAAATTGTTTCCTTGCATCTACAGTGGGCGTAATCGAGTAAAAGTCGGGTTAGATAGATAGGAAAGTATTCTATAGTGTTTCTCTCGATGATGAATATTTCACAAGCTCGCATGAAACAGTAGAAAATTATTTTATCCATATGCTACAGAAAAAAAAACAAATCTTACATACGATGTTTTTTAAAAGTTCTGTTAAAACAACTGGAAATGATTTTGCTTATCTGCTTCTTTACATGGAGGGGGGGGAATATGACTCCATATAGTTTTGAATTTTAGCAAAGTTCCCTCGAAATGATTGATTAACGGAGTTAATCTGAATATATGTGTTAATAACCATTCAGAAACGCTAAATAATTGAGTACATAGTCTTTTTATTATCTCGAAAGTAAACTGAGTTCTGTTTTAAAAAGATCTACTTCTTATTATAGAGGGAGCAATGTCGTCTAAATTACGCAAAAATGAAAATAACACTGACGTCTCGTTTTAACAGACGTATTTACCAAAATTACACAAAAATATCTTAAAATACTAAATACTAGATTTATTCAATAAAATCGCCATTGGTTTCAATCAGAGCCTCAAGACGACTTCGGAATCTCTTGGAACTCTTCTGGGCGGTTTCTTTGTTTATGTTGGTGAATGCTACCATAATCCTTGCCTTCAGTTCATCTTTGGTGTTACATGGAGTTTTGTTTGACTCTCGCTCAACTGCGCCCTACACATAATAATCAAGGGGTTGCGGTCTGATGTGTTAGATGGCCAGATGTAAAGGGTAATGTGGTCGTAGAAATTCTCTCACAGCCCTAGGTTCATCCATCAGCCAACTTCTTGAAGGCACTTGATGAAGGCCACCCTGTTGAGTCTGAGGTCCTCACCAACAAATTCGAGAGTTATTTTCTTATCAGAACGATCAGAGTGAGTTCTTCAGGCTGCTGTACCTTCGTTTCTACGGGATTGAATTGCGTCATGATGCTCTCTTTTTCACAGACGGTATCCAAATAACCGTACCATACTGTGCAGTCAACAAAAATTAAAAACAAACAACGCGCATGCGCGAAATTAAAAATATAAAATAACGATAATTTACCCATCGCAACTTTATATCTCGAGGTCTTATTGGATTTTTGCAAACTCTGCGCTCATTGGTTGTACATAAATTAATGGTCGTTTAGCTCTCATCGTTGCTCAGCTTCACGAGTCGGTCTCTCAACGGGTTTCGTGTTATCGACTTGTGTTCAAATATTACGCGATATTTTGTAACGTTGTGTTGAGATGGTTCTGCTTACTTTACGACGGCGAATGAATCTGATCTTCTTGCCTGTATAACACAATCAGAGGTTTGTAGCTGTTCTCTTGTCTGATCTAGCTCTAACAGCTTAATGGGGAAAAACTGATTTGCAATGTTCAAAACCAGACTGATCACTTTTCACCATCACTGAGATTACCCTGAATTCTCATGATGAAAGTTTGCACTCTCAAGGAGGCGCTATGTTTCGAGCGTTTATTAACCCGAGACCTCAAATGGCACTCATGTATGCGATCCGTCGATAAAGATATAGCCAGCTCTTTGTGCCGCTCCAGAAACTATCGGAATACACTTGACATTCTCTATCTTTACAAGAACCAGACCAGACCATTTCTGCCAGTTTGAAGCTGCCAAATCCTCTAACCCTGTTTCCATAGAATATGATCTAATGAGCTACATTTTTAACTCTAGAGGTTCAAATATTTTTGGTTAAAACTGGCCATGCCATGGGCACAGAGGTGAACCATTCCTCTTCCCTTCGTATTCCACTGCTAAGAAAGAATTTCCATTCATGATCCTTCTGAGAGGACGCTTTCCTCGATCGCTACAATGTTAACGTTTTAGTTTAAGGTCGAACGTTATTTATCCTATACATTAAACAATTCTTATGCTCGTAAAACAATCCCCTTCAGAAACGCTCTACCTTGACTACCTCAAGTTTTTCGATCTGAAATTGCCTGAGAGGAAGCTGGCTGTAACCATCTCGATGGCAAGTGAGTGGGTTTACAAGAAAAATAAAGGAAGGGATTCTCAGATAATATAACCGACTTCTTGCTCGTAGATCTTATTTAACGAGGCTTACTGATATCTATTTAACTCTTCCCAATTCCACACTACTGCGGTCGACCTAACTCCGGATAGTTTGAGAGCTGGTATGCGTCAGCCTTATTTACAACATAGCGCAGAACAGCAGCAATGCTCCGGATTGATGACAATCTTCTTTTTTTTTAATCGGTATCACTCCAAGCAAATCTGCAAAGCCACTAAAACGCAAGGGGCTTACAGGGTGTGGAAGAATTAGGAACGGAAACATTAATGAGCAGGGAGAGAAAAGTGTAATTAGGAGGACGGGAGATAGCGATTGACATTGCATTTAAATTTTTGCAGATTAACGTTTGCTGGAAAACATGGAGCCAGAAGGGAGTCCCACAAACGAGAAAAGAAACTGTTAGCATAGAACTACATCGAGTTAGCTCAACTGTGAATTGATGAGATCTTGAATGTCAATCTAGTAGTCTGCTTAAATTCAGAGAGTCTAGGTACCATAGCGAAGTTGGTTTGATAACTCAATTAGGGAACTTTGGTTTCGGGACTGCAGACAAAGCTAATCAATTGTAAATCTGAAAACGAAAACTTATTCGTTCAGAAAAATTTCTTTATATGACCGAATTCTTCCTCGCAGTATCTTACAAGTGGTGAAGTTGGTAGCAAAGAGAAATAATGATGTTAATTTTTGACCCCTTGCTAGATTGCGTCCTGACAGCTGACAACTGCCCCACTCGACTGCCTTACATCGACTACCCGTGGATGACTGTCGACTTCTACTACTGGTCTGCTGTATGTGACTGTCATTTCTTTGAGATGTCGGTTTACAAGTCAATTTGGATTGGTGTATAGTAACAGGGTCGTTGAAGCGAGAAAATTAGCCACCAACTTCATGGGTGAATGTTGGACAACCTCCAGCTGAATATGAAACTGGAGGCAACATAAATGTGATCTACAGAAGGATATTCAGAATTCCATGAACGGAGCGAGGAAGCAACGCAGACGTCTTAAAGAAAATGCTAACGAAAAGAATACTTATAGTCCGAATCAGAAAGAGACAACTGCCATGTCTTGGACACATAATGAGGAGAGAAGGCTCGGAAAACGTAATCCTCACAGGATAGAGATAGGGGAAGGCAGTGAACTGCCTAACTGACGAGCTTGTGTCATCATAACAGGGGAAGGCAAAAGGAGAAACACTGCTAAGGTTTTTTGGGGTTTTTTTTAAGCATTTCACCCCAAGCAAGGCGGGAAGCCACTAGGACGCAAGGGGTTTCAGAAAATATAGAGCGAGATAAGATAGGAGTGATAGAAGAGGGTATGAGGAGAAGGGTAGTGGATAGATCAAGGCAACTGGGGATGTCGATTGACATTACACTTGAATAGCTGGAGATCATAACTCTCAGGGGAACTGGAATAGGGATGGGAGTTCCACAGGCGAGAGGTGCGAGACATGAAGCTATTAAAGTAGAAGAGACGGCTACATTTAGGAGTTTCGACAGTGAAAGGGTGAGAGCGGGATGCCAGCCTCGTAGGGCGCTTGAACTCATGAAGTCTGGGAACCAGCGAATGCAGCTCCTCGGAGCAATTACCATGAAAGTATTTGTAAAAAAAGACAGAGAGAGGCGACGGCGCGTCTGTGAGAAAGTGTCTGTAGACGAGATGCCAGAGCAGGGCCAATTATATTGCATATCTGCCTCTGGAGCCTATCAAGAACCCCGAGGCAAACAGAAGGGGCACCAGACCATATATGGCAGCAATACTCCATGCAAGGGCGAATTGTTGATTTGTAGATCTGGAGGATCGATTCCAGGGAGAAAAACTTCCTAGCACGGCACAGGGAGCCAACTTTCCTTGCGGTGGACGAAGCAATTGACTCAATGTATTTGTTCCTATCTCAGGTCAGCAGTGAGACCGAGCAGCCGCAGAGAGTTGCTCTCGAGAAGTTGAGCGTCAGACATTCTAATAAGAAGAAGAAGAAGAAGAAGAAGAAGAAGAAGAAGAAGAAGAAGAAGAAGAAGAAGAAGAAGAAGAAGAAGCAGCAGCAGCAGCAGCGGAGGTTAAGGGAAGTGTCTGTAAAAACTGAAGGGTAGTTGAACAATATAATTCTTTTACTGAATTGTGGTCAAGATTCTAGTAGGCGTGGCCCAGCTGGGTTTTCTCAGTTGTCATTTTTCTAACGGCGAGTGAGGGTGGGGGCACTCCTTGCTTCTTCTGATTCTAATATCATCAGTTCAAACCCAGACAACTTCGAATGCTAATTCAGTTAAATAAATTATTTTCATTACTCAAACCCAACAAACTTTAGATTTATTAGGTTGGTGCAAAAATAATGCATGTTAAATATACATATGTAAAAATATGTTAAAACATACATCAAAAAACGACATTATTACGTCATTATTTTTGCACCAACCTAAAAAAACAGGTCTCAGCGTACTTCTGTTATGCTGCTAAAATCCAAATTACAAAATCGATTTAATTCCAATTCCAACCATCCATCAGGTGTAGATTCACCTACTTGTAAAATCTACGCCAGTAAGTATGTTACACTTGCATTAATTTCGACAAAATACTATACCAGACTTTTAGCGAGCTCTTTTTTTCGATAGTACAGGGTGTTGAGTGGCACGTGAGTTTCAAGGGCTTTTTTATATGTCAGTTGAATATGATGAGAGATCAAAACAATTAACTATCCATAGAATGCTAGATAAATATGGGAAATAAATAAAGAAATTCGTCTATAATGGCCGTCACTGAAGTATACATTAGTTTTTGTCACATGCTTGATATCAACTATGGAGTCTGTCAAAGAAATTCCTCTTCGAGAATGTTCGGGAAACTTCCCGTACCATCTTCTACTTCCAAATCGGATTCGGGGAATAGTTGACGTCGTTGATTCTCATATGGTAGGAACTTGATTTGCAGCTGAGATATTTCAAATCTAAAACAATGGATTTTTATCCAGAGAAAGAATTGGGCATTAAATAAAAATTGAATTTTTCCGAACTATTGAAATAATGATTTCGTATCTATTCGATTGCAAGAAATAAACCATTTTTGATTCCATAAGTTGGAATTAGGTATTAGGTTGGTGCAAAAATAATGACGTAATAATGTCGTTTTTGACGTTACGTCAAAAAACGACATTATTACGTCATTATTTTTGCACCAACCTAATACTTCGACGTGGTGTAATGGTTAGCAAGTTTGTCTTGCTCGATCAATTATAAATGAGTACTGAGTTCGATCCTTACCGGTTCTACATACTTTCGACCTTGTTCTATATGACTATAAACTGAGAAGTTTAATAGTCAATAAACTATCGACATTACAAGTTAAAACCCCAGATTTACGGCATTTATTATATCGTAATCTGTTTGAAGTGTATCATTCATTGATTTTTCTGTCCTTTACAGTAAAGGTACCTCGGCTTAAGGTAATAGTTAACCAGGCTAGTCTGGTTGAATACTTAATACTGTATAGTGAGTTCGGTCTTAACAAAATAAATTTGACATAAATAATACTGTAAAGTTCGACATCATGTAAATCAAATCAACACAGTTATAGTCAATGCTATATATATGTAAGTATTAAAATTATTATGTATAAGTATTAAAAGAAAGAAGTTATACTTATACTAGATTTTTCTCAGTGTTTAGTATTATTGAAGTTATCGCTAAAATATTTTTTTATGATTTACAAACTCTACGTTTCGTTCAATTTCGCAAGCCAATCGATGAAATTTGAATGAGATGATTTGTTTGGAGAAAAAAAACTTTAACAAAAAACCTACTTCAGAGTTTAATAATTTCTTTAATTTAATTTAATTTTGTATGACTTCATCGTAAACAATATTTTTTAAGAAAATTTCTTTTTTCCTTTTTAACAGCGAAGAATAAATTCTTAAGATTTCTTACTCTTGAGCATGCAACATCCAACTGGCCATGCGTAAATTTTTCTTTCTGGAGGCAAATTCCAAATTTTTGAAGCGTTTGATCTTGTGATTTGTTTATAGTTTTCGAACATGCAGGGCAAACTGTAAACTGAATTCTTGTATATATATATATATATATATATATATATATATATATATATATATATGTGTGTGTGTGTGTGTGTGTGTGTGTGTGTGTGTGTGTATGTCTGTGTGTGTGTGTGTGTGTACTTATAGAATAGATATACAAAAAACAATATTTCATTTTTATTAAATAAGTATTTGTTATTTTAATCATTAAATTGTTTTCAAAATAGTTGAATTTTTAATTTTTTGCCCCCAAATTAACGAAAATTTATTGTACTAAGATACACACCTTTGTAATACTAACTGCACTCTGGACCACCTTACTTGTTTGCACTTCTCCCCGAAAGTTGGTTTCGATCGGTTAATGAAAAGCTATTTTAGAAGGTTTGGCGGACAGACGGACGGATGGATTAACACAGAATTTTATATATAATGAGATAGATTGTTCTGTACTCGGAGTTTTGTTAGACAAAAATAAAAGAAGACGTAAGATAAGAATGTACGGCGGGGTTATCCAAAAGGAACAGGAGATCCTACCAGAATTTATTATCGGTTGATGCATTCTTAACAATATGTTACATATGTGACATTGGGTTGATGGTCGACTCGGAAAGAAATCTACGGGGCCTCCTAAACAAGATAGTAAAAGAAAGCGAGAAAAAACGGCTAACTATCAATTATAAAAAAGACAAAATATATGGTTTTCAGCAAGAGAAAAGACCAAGATACGAACTTTGTATTGGAGATGTCAAAAGGCTTTAACGGAAGATAGAAAATATGACACCAAAATTTGAATGTTCATTGGAATAGAGAATGCTGTATTCTAAAAGCTAAGCAAAAATACTAAAAAAAGGGGAGATGTTTCGCTGGTAATAAAGAAAAGTATGTTGAATTGCTATTATTTTAATATCAATCATCCTATGCGTAAGTGAATGCTGGAAATTTTCCAGCCAGATGAAAAGAAGACTTGAGGCAACAGACAATTATACAGATTGGACAGAACTCGTCAGCAACGAAGACGTCTTTAAAAAAAAATGGATGCAGATAGGAAACGTTTACTAAGTATCCGAAAGAGACGAGTGCAATAACGAGGAAGCAGGGCTTGTAAAAAAGGACACTCACAGGACATATAGAAGGCAAAAGAGTCAGGAGGAGGAGGCAGCGGGCCATCTACGTGACGAGCTTGTGCAAATTGATGGCGGAACGGAGGGCTACAAGTGAGAGGATGTTGCCCACGTCCTGAAGGAAAAGAGTTTCCTGTATTTTTTAAATTCAATCATCGCCAGATTTCTTGAAGAAATGGTAAACCTATATTTACGGATTTTCTTTTTTTTTCTTTATCGAAAAACCGTTATTCTGATAATGGTATTACATATATATATATATATATATATATATATATATATATATATATATATATGCTCTACTTTTGTATCGAGCACAATTTTTTTAAAGTAATAACTAAAATACTAAGGAACTTATGATTATTTACCTAACCAGTTCCTTCCTATTTTCTATATATTTTCACATATATATATGTGTGTGTGTGTGTGTGTGTGTGAGATATCTTACTGGAATAATCCGAGGTTTTCATAACACTATTAGACTCTACATTGAGTAATAAGAATGTATTTAGCTCTAAGGGGAAATGATGATCCATCTTCGTGTTGCGACCTCCTGATCCAGTTTTCCTCTCTACTGCTCTCTCTTTTTAAAAAATATTCACCGTTCACTTGATGGTTCTTGACTGGACTTTGAAGATGTAAGCTAGAATATGAATGTTCGAACTATTATTGAAGGCCTGAATGATTTTTTCCTCTCACCATTGCTCAGTTGGGAAGATATAGTGGGGTTGACACAAAACGATTTTAACCTATTCTCTTTCTAGCTGAATAACTCAAAATTAATACGACAAATGGTGTTAAGATGGCTAACTGTCTTATCTGAAAACCTGAAAGAAAGAAACCCAATTAGTTAAGTATTTTTAAATATTAGGCATTTTGTGGGATGAATAATTATCCCATGCTGTTACACGATTTGGACAATTTGGCAATTACACTGAGTATATATACATATATATATATATATATATATATATATATATATATATATAATACAATCAAGCCGGTAAATGTAATTAATACTGTTTAATTAAAAACAGAGCACTGACTTAAATAAACTGTACGTATAAAAATAACGTATAAACAGAAAATACATTAAATAATTGTCGGACAATCCATTTCATGATATGTTTTCATTGTTTACCTTCAGAAACGTTTCGTGAGTAGAAATCATCACTTGAGAAAAATCGTCCAGGATTGTGTGTTTATAAGCAGTAATTTGGACTTTGATAACCAGATGCTTCTCTGCAGCTAAATGGTATATCACGTCAGATCAACTGACGGTTTCCGTGTCAGAGAACGCTTATTTTCTAAAAAATTTCTCGAACATTCAGGGCGGTAAATGTAATTAATAGTGTTTAATTAAAAACAGCATTTACTTACATAAACTGTACCTACAAAAAATAACGTATAAACCAAAAAAAATAATTAAATAATTATCGGACTTAATCCATTTCATTATATATATATATATATATATATATATATATATATATATATCAGATCAAGTATAGATAGAAATCCAACAAAATGATAGGGTAAAGAATAAGTATATACTTACCATTAATCTGCGTTTTTTTTGCATTTTATGATTTCTATCTTAATTTTTGAAGACACGTTAATAAAGCGAAGCATGTTAGATTGATATATATATATATATATATATATATATATATATATATATATATATATTAAGAAATGGACAAAGTCCGACAATTTATTTATTAAACACATTTTTATGTTTAACGTTCTTTTTTATAGATACAAGTATTTAAGTAAATGCTCTGTTTATAATAAACAGTGTTAAATAACATTTACCGGCCTGAATGTCCGAGAAATTTTCATAGAAAATATTCGTCCTTTGACAGGATTCGAACCTGCATCCTATACGGAACCGTCATTTACACTGACTTGCCTTACCGTCTCGGCCACAAAGT